GATTATCATACTGTTCTGGCTGCTTGGCAATAGAACCACCATGCACTAACAATAGCCATTTCAACCAAATTGACAATGCAGAATTCTTAGAAGGTTGTGATGCAACTTCTTTGCTGATAATCTCAAACAATTTAGTAATCAAATCTGATGATGATTCTGATGTTGAAAAAAGCTTAATTGTTTCTTTAATATTATCATCGTCGTTATTAGACGAACATAATTTAATTACCTTTTCGTCCGTTTTCTTAGAAATGCTTAATAATTTAACCAAATCTTTATACAACTTGCTAACTGCAAGGTTATTTATTTCAGTAGTTTCAGGAAATTCAATATCATCTATTCTATTATCAATGACACCATTCACTTTCTCATTATAATCAATGGAAACTTGTATTTCACCCACTGAATTAAAATTCCAATTAATACTTTCAAATTTAGGCTCATTACCATTATACCAAACTCCAATTAAATCGTTTTCTTTTACAAAGACATCCATGAAAATAATCTTATCCATTGAATCATGAAAACTTGTCTTAATCAAACAAGCTGGTAATTGGTCTTCGTTATTAGAGTCGAAATCAATTTTGAATACTTCAACACCTTCTGCTGTGATTGCCATTAAAAATTCTTCCGTCATATCATTATTTGCAATTAATTGGACACCATATATTTGGCTTGTAGAAATTTTAAAAGTAGTAAATATGGCTGAATCTGAAGTATTATACAAATAAATCTGATTCGAATTTTCTCTTACCACAGCTACCAAGTTCTCTTTAAGACGTGATTGTTCGATTATAGTAATAGGAGAAGGCTCAGACATCTGAGGGAACGTAATTAACAATGACTTTTTGGGTTTTGATGGGTCCACTAAGTATAAATTATTGGATCCTATTAATATATGTTGAGATCTCGAAGACCCACCTGTCTGTCTAATGGTCTTTGCTAATTGTATTTGGTCATCTTCCTTAAATTTAAAATTCTTCACCTCTTTACTTTGTGCCAAAGATATTTCAACTATTGACCTATTTTCTTCCAAAACACCCCAGACAGAGTCATGAATTAATGAAGGCGTCAAACAGATTATCTTTGACCCATAGGATATTCTATCAATAATTTCATTATTATGAGGTGATAAGATCAATATATCACCGTTTTCTAAGGCAACCGCTAAATTCTTATTGTCCGATGTCGCTTCGTTTAAATCGGATTCTGAAGACGATTGTCTTCTTTTGCCTCTTTTCTTTACTCTTTCAGAGTTCTTTATTCCAGAATTATTTATCCAACAGCATGATGTAACGATTTCATCTGCCTGTAATTCGATTTTTACAATTAATGAATCTAATATGATTGATTCCGATGCATTCTTATTTATAGGAAATATCTGTACCTCATTTCTACCATTCTTCGAGATTATATTGGTGAAATACAAGTTGTCATCATCTAAACATCTTTTGAGATCACTCATCTTGAGAATAGCTATGTCTGAAATGTATGTAATAGGTATCTTCAATGTTCAGTTCTATATATCTTCTCAGCTCTTCGCATAAAAATTTTGGTGTGCAGATTTTCTTTTTAATTTACACGACTTTGTATTCTAAATCTAACATACCTGCTACCTATGTACAAAAATCTATTAAACTATTTTGATTCTTGAATCTCAATCATTTGTTGGACTTGTGATTTGCATAAATCTTTCAAATCTTGAACATCAGCTCTTAATTCCTCAACTTGCTCTGATTTTTCGCCGATTAATTCCAACATTGTTTCTTCTTGCTTCGACTTCTCATCTATTTCAGTTTGCAATGCAGTAATTTGCTCCTTTAGGCTATTAACTTCTTCGACTAATTTAAATTGCTTTAATATTTCCTGCTGAGCTTGTTCCTTTTCCAAGGACAATTGAGTATTTTCATCTTTCATAGTACTTAATTCAATTTCCAACCTCCTGATATTTGAACTCATTTTGTTAATTAATTGAATATTATTATTTCCAGATGTTGGAATGACACCTGATATACTACCATTACCGATATGGCTTGCATATTTGGAATTGAAAGAATAATTATCATTACCTAGTTCTGTTCCCATATCAGCATTGTCCATTAATGAAGCCAGAGAATTATTATGCGAATGGCTCATAAATACGGACGAATATTCTCTCGAAATAGCTGGAGTAGTCGAAGATTCACCGAATTTTATATCTGGCCAACCAGAGTTATTGTAAGATGCTTCGTTGATACTAGTTGATGAAAGGTGTTTTGTGAATTTTGGAGGTTCAAGATTAAGATTTAAACCGTTAATATTTTGCTTACTTGGAGAAGTTTGATCAAATGGTCCCAAGTTAGTATTACTATTATTCTTTGATTTTTCCAAGGACTCTGTCAATTTTTTAATTTTAGAGTTGAGGTTTTGGCGGTCTGTATTGTAAATTTGTTGAAATTTGTCAAATTTCTCTTGTAACTCTTGATAATCGGTATCTTTAACTTGGTTCTGAAAGAGAAGTTCTTCTTTTTCATTTGTTAATTCTTCAAATTTCTCGTTTAATTGATCATACTCTTCTATTTTTTTTTGTAAACTATTTTGCACCTTTTGAAGCTCATTAGTTGACTTTGTCTTGGACTTTTTCAAAGCGTCTACAGACGATGTCAATGAATCTACTTTATTTAATAGATTTGATTCAATCATTTTCCAATTTTCTTGTGAAGATAAATATTGTTGTTGCAAATTATGGTGGTTATTAGATAACTTAACGAACTCTTCGTAGTCTATATGTTTCGAACTACTAGCTTCCGTTTGATCTTTTTCACCACCATCATTGTAGTCCTTTTTATCGCTGAAACCACCAACCGAACGCTCATTCTCGACTCTCAAAGATTCGATTTTATTTTCTAGGCGATAAATCTCTTTTGAATTCTCATCTCTTATACTATTTATATTTCTTTTCAAATCATTAATAGTGGTATTTTTGGACTCTAACTCAAGAGAATTTTGCTTTTTGGACATGTCAAATTGAATTTTGATTTCATTCAATTGTTTTATAGCCTGTTTTTTTTCTGTGAATTCAGCTTCATAAAGCCTTTGTTGCTCTTTGTATTTGCCCTCCCAATCAAGCTGTTTTTCTTTTTCTAGATTATCATTAGACTGAGCTAGTTTATTGGATATATCGTTGTAATTGTCAATTAATTGGTTAATGGACTTGAACTTATGCTTTTTTAGGAAATCCTCTTGTTCATTTAATTGTAGTAATATCTGCTCGTTCTTTTTTGAATAATCATTTAATGATTGCTCTAAATCATTGTTTGATGCTTTTAACTTTTTAATGCTTTCGTTAAGTTTTAATTCCTTTACCGATAAGGCCTGACCCTCTTTCATTAATTGTTCAATTGTTTCATCTTTAGATGACAACTGTTCTTTCAAATTGGATATCTCTTTAATACTTCCGGGCTTCGATGATTGTGCATTCAACCGTTTATTTTCATCAGATAACTCAGAATTATTAGCTCTCAAATTCCTAATTTCTGCAGTTAGTCTTGCAATCTCTTCCGAATATTTGTCGTGTGATTCAAGATTATTTTCCAGCCCAGTATTATGTACATTTTCTTTTACTTTCAAGCTAACATTATTATCCGCTAATGGGTCACTTCCTTCGTTTATATTTATATTCATTGGTTCCTCAGGAGCATTAACTGGTGGGGTTCCACCAGCTGATGACGTAGGGGTAGGCGTAGAAGACCTCTGTTTTTTTCCTTTTGCAGCTAATGCTAACCTTTCCAGTAATGTTAATCTTTTTTTCGTTTTAGGAGGAATACTATCTGTGGTAGGAAGTGAAGCCTGTTGGAGCTCTTGTGAATCTTCGACACTTTCCTTTGATTCCGATACAGCGACAGCTGGTATGGCTTTTTCCTTGGCTATTCCTGTTTCATTATTCAGCTCAGTATTATGTTCTACGTTAGAAATATCTTCACAAACTTCTGGATTTTCGGCCGCTTTGTCGTCCACTCTGCTTTCCTCTATATCTATTTCTTGTGATTCATCTACTTCTATAGCTTTCGTATCAGCCTTTTCTTTCCCATTGTCCTTATTTACTACCTCATTCTTCTTGGTAGCTTTCTTATTATTCTTTTTTGGCATACTTTCCCAACCGAAATGAATAAACGCTTTAACAATGCATAAATATTGAGTTGACCATTTTATGATCCTTAGGATTAATTTTCGAGTAATATGCAGTATGTGTTTTGGTTAACCATTTTTTGCAATAAAAGCAGCAAGACTATAAATGAAAATATTACAAGTCTTGATCTTATAAAGAATATGCTATAGTTGGTCTAGAATTAGTTCATACATAACTAAGTCGATTGAATTTTTTCAATATTTTAAAAATAAAAATATTAATTTACAAAAATTACAAAAATCGTTCAAAGCTGCGAAACAATGCTGTTAATTATTATATACGAATTAAGATCCAATAAATGATATTTTGTATATTCAACCATATATACAATCTAGCTTCCATCATCGTTGAAGTCAATTACCAAGTTTTTCAAATACAAAACCAATATAGAAACCTACAGCCTCCTTTTCAAGTCCTTCAGCTCCATATTTTCCATCTGATCTCTTCATTCCTTCAATTAAATTTTTATTCAATTTGGAGAAATATTTCGGTATCTCTTGGTTAAAAATGTCAATAAAATTTTTCTTATATTTTAAGACCAAGCCGTATTCTTCACATAAGCCACGGAATACTTCAAAAGGAACGACATATTCAGGAACATCGTCGATGGCATCTTTTAAGCTATAATTGTATCCATTACCAAACGGTGGCCTGAAAACTCCTTCACTTGGAGGATCTTTATGGAAAGTCACAGAATACAAATCATTGCCAAATTTTCTATTTTCTTCATCGATAAAAGCCCGATTTACTATTTTATCTTTAATAAAGTCTGATGATGGGATAGTACCAATAAGGGTTCCACCAGCCCTTAACGACTTAGTTATATTCGTCAATAGTTGGTGTACTTTCTCTTCTGTTTCAAATGCATAATGCATTGCAAATTGTAATGAAACACAATCTACAGGAAACAAGCCATCTATTATACCAGGAAAATTTGGTTCTAAAATTTCAGGTATGCTACTACTAAAACAGTCACCAGTGGCAAAGCATGCTTCAAAATTGTATCTTCTAGTGTCTCTTTCCTTTTTACTTTGCGCTGTTTGAGGAATAAAGCGAGCCTTATTTCTTGAATATCTCGAAAATGCTTCTTTTATGGATGCATCTGATATGTCAATTCCAATATACTGATCGACCGATACGAATTCACATTTATTCAAATCTCCTCCTTTACCACAGCACAAATCAAGTATAACTGTCGGGCGGTTGGGGTCCGGATTGTGCTTGACCCAATTACCCAAAAGGATATATTTAATAGCATTATTGAAGTTTCTTAACTTGTAGATGGGCGACTTAGTTCTAGACCCCTGAAATTTAGATTGTTGTGTTCTTTGATTATAATGAGATCTAACGATACTGTTTATGTCCTTGCTTTCCTTATTGTTTATATGGCTTTGAAAGGTTTGGTATAAATTTGAAGATGGATTCGCAACTGCGAGATTACTGTACGGAGCTACATCATCATCAACTTCTTCATGTGCTCGCTTCTTATCGTAACGATTAACAGTCGTCTCTGTAGGGGGTCTTCTTACTCTATCATTCGAATTGAGAGATCCAGTCATATATTTGGAGTATCTTTCATCGGGGTTGTTCACGGGAGCAGTTGGCGCTGCAATTGGGGTAGATCTAGAACCATATTTATCATACTTATCAGTTGTCTTGCTCTTCATCCATGCTGGAGTCTTTTTATTCTCATCATTATATACTGAAGATATAGAATTATTATTATCCTTATTCTCTCTTCTTGAAAACGAATCTGATATGTCGATACTATCATCTGCTTTGATCTTCTTTATTGGTGGTTTATTAATATCAGGTTTGGATTCTTGCTCTAAATTCTCTTCTGTACTTTTTAACTCTTTTTCATCCTTATTAACCGAAGGGTTAGAATCTGGTAAGCTGGCAGAGCCTGCTTCTATATTTGACATACGGCGGTAGATACTATTTGCTGGTAATCTTATTGTACATTAAAATTTCTTGAACTAATTTATATGACGACATTAATTTTATACATCGCGACATTAGGTATTCTAGTGTAGACTATATACGATTATAAATTTGATTTAATATCAAAAACCTCTCTAAAATCTTCAATAATTGGAGTAAGAAATTGCTTCTTATTTGGTATGAAATGTCCTCCTTCGTGTACATATTCTGTCAACATCTCATCCTTGAATGTTGTGGACAAATACTGTGACCTAATACCAGGAACAGTCATATCTTTAGAACCGTATACGTTGAGGACTCTTGTAGTAGTATCCATGGATCGATAATATCTCTTATAATTGTCAATTAATTTTACCTTAGACGTATATTCATTTGTATCGTTGATTTGGTAGTTTAAATTCAACTTGTTGTCTTTGGATGGGTCAATTGGTTCTGTAAATGCAAAACCAGAAAATAAGACCGCAATTTGAAAGTTTTTGTGATTAGGGATTAACTCGCTTATTACGTTAATAATTACCGCACTCATAGCAGCTCCTTGAGAAAATCCTATTATACCATCATAGGGACCATTTTCCTTAATATAACCCACTAAATACTCCAATGATTGGTCAAAACCTTCATAAACATTTGGATCGTGGTGTTGCCACCAGCATCTATTACAATTTTGGTCAATTATGGATTTCCATTTTAGGTCTGCATCTTCTTCTTCTTCAGCTAATGTAAATGGTAAATCTTCTTTGCTCTTTATCACGAATGGTGGATTTACATAATCCAATTGGAGGTTAAGTTTCTTAGTGAGAAGTTTACGTAGTCCTGAAGACTTTTCAGCAAATATCTTTCCGCTCTGCAAGTACCCTGGCAAACATAGTATTTTTTTAGTTACTGTCATTGTTATTATTAGCTCTTGTCGGCTTACTTTTTGATCGGTCTTCAAAAAATGTTGCAGATTTGGTTTTATTCACGTGCGCAATCACATATTGTCTATATCCTATTTACATTATATAAGTGTTTACACTCTGCAAAGTATTCCGGCTAGGATTAACTTTCCTAACATTTAGCAAGAGGCATAATTGCTGCTTGACCATATCTTTACTAATTTTTGGAACGGATTGAAGTGGAGCCCAGTCTAAGTTGAAATATTTGCACAATAAGACTAACACTAATCCAGTGCTTATATCTTTTCCAGTTTCACAAAGAATCATAATATTATCATTTTTTGAAGCATGTTGGATATCTAGTTGAGGAATAATCTTAGGGAATACTTCTCTTAATTTCTTTGATCCTTTCTTAGAAGATTCAACTTTAAACTGCAATATGGTGATTTTTGGATTATCTGGAATATTTGAGATACCGAAGTACTCACTAAATATTACTAATTGAGTCACATTTTGATACTTACTGATGAATGAATTGTAGTTCAATTTCCTATCTATGATACCAAACACTAAACCAGTATCATTGATATCATTCTTGACATAGCTTACATCTAAGTCAATTTCTTCATCAGATAACAAAGTTCTATCTTTAACATATTTCTCGTAGATTCTATTTATCTTCAAGATAAGCTCATTTTCTGAGATCCAATCATAAATATATCCTGTATCTTTGTCAATTACATCTTCGTTTTGTTTCCCATTATTAGAGACAACATTGTCCCAAAAAAATCGAGAATCAAGATTTCCGTCACAGATCTCCTTTGTAGCCCAAAGTTCATGGTCATCTGCTGATCCTTGGATATAATACCACGAAGTAAGCTTTATCTCTCCGTTAGTTAAGTTGTTTCTTACTGTGAGCACTGAACCACCATATTCATTCGTCTTTTTGGATGCCGTTATACATTGAATCAAGAAATAAGCTCTTTCAGCATTTGAATCTTGCTCATGATCAAAGAAAAAAGGATCGTTGGTGCTCAAGTCATCATTATTATTCTTGCATCCTGGATAATGCCATTGAGGTATCAAGGGCCTTTTTTTTCCATCAAGATGTTGTATTAGCTTTTCTTTAGTAACCAAATTTAGCTTCTTTACCTCATTTGCGAAAGAGCTTATTAGCTTTGAGATTTCATTTCTTTCACTAGCAAAAACCATGAATTTTGGTGTTGAGACCCAATTGTGTTCATTCTTCAAGGATAAAATAAATTTAGCATCAGAGTAATTTTCTTCTAATCTAAGCTCATCTAGTATATCTTTATCACTATCCCCTTCATATAATATAGTGTTTAAAACAGCACACCAAATTGGAATAGTTTTCAGCAAGGCATCAGGCATAAGCTTACCTTTTCTTGTTGAATCAATGATTGCAATACCTCCGTAAGCACTTATTTTTGGTAATAAATGAAAATTTAATCTTCTTAAAGAAAAGGACCATTCGCCAGTATGTCCATCAGTAGATTTGAAATAAGAGGTATCCTTTTGTTTATTTGGTGGTACATACCATAATCCGCATCTCTCGTTAGGCACTAATGGTAACCCAACCTTATCTTTAGTTGATTCAACAAACAGTGCATCGTAAATAATAGATTGAAGCCTATTTTTAATAGATAATGAATCTTTTCTAAGCTCTTTAGTTACACTATTTATATCTAAGTGACTTAGTGTCAATTTATCCATTCTTAGTGCTTCAATTCTTTACGATTATTCTTTTGCACAAAATGTGTTTTGCGCCTAAATTTTTTTTTGGTTATTGTTGACTATTATTAAAATCGGTTATATATACAAACTATGCAAACTATACATGCAACAAATGATTATATTAGCGTTGATTCAGTTTTCTAGCCTTCTTTAATGCTGCTAATCTTTGTTCTTCTTCAAGTTCTCTACGGTCTTCTAATTCAGCATTGCGCTTGGATCTCATTTCTTCTTCCCATATTTCTGCGCCAGTTGCTTCCATATCATCCCCAGAGTCATCATCATATCTATCGTAATATGATCTTTTCTTACCTCTATTAAAAATTGCCCAAATCTCATCCCTATCATAATCAGGTGCATTTGAGTCTCCATAGCCATATTCTTCATCATCAGATATGATAAAAGATTCAGCATCTTCATCTTCGGAGTCGTTATAGGATTGGGATCTATTGTATTGACTATTACTAGGTTTCGTCTTACCAGAAGACTTTAATCTTTCCTCTAGTTTGGAAGATGGCTTTCTTACAGGTAAAGGGGCCCTTGTCGAATTCTTATTATCATCAGAATTAGGATATTTGGAAGTAGAGGTTACTTCTTTTCTTTTTGGTACATTCCTACGACCCTCGGTTGGAGCAGAACTGGCTCTTGATAATGGTTTATTTTTGACAGCCGATGAACGAAGTTCAGGTGATTTTGCTTTTGGTTTAATAGATACAGATAGTTTGCTTTGGTCAATTTTTGATGCTTTTTTCATTAAATCGTTAAAATTCATCTTCTTAACAGGTTTATGAGCCGGTGCTACTTTTGGACGCATATCAGTAATTGGAGAAATACCAGAGTTATTCAATCTACCACCTCCGATATTTTTTTTTGTCTCATTACTTCGCAATCCATTCGTGTTGGTGCTTCTTGGGGCACTTCTTGGGGCACTTCTTGGGGCACTTCTTGGTGCACTTTTTGGCTTCTTGGGCGCTAATCCTTTCTTTTCTCTTGCTTCTTGCTCTTTTTTCTCTTTCTCTAACTTACGAGCTGCTTTTAACCTAGCAACGACAGGATCAACGACCCTATTTTCACCATTGCTGTATCTGTGCTGATTTCTAACATTCAGTTGTTCAGCAGTCCTGTTTGCTTCCAATGTCTCATCTCTATCAGATCGGTTTGTTTTAGGTATAATTTGACCTTTTCGTTTGACATGCTGCAATATATTCGATAGAGACATATGAATCAAGTAATGAAATCAGAACAGGTTACGGTGACTGATATGAACTGTTCACTATTAAGATCTGGTCATAAGGTGGACTTAAGTACATTTGAAATACCAAAATCGGTAAACACACAACTACATATATGAATTGCAATTTTACGAAGTCTAATGTTCCTTAAATAATAAATATCTGTAAGTTTATTATAATTTAATATAAATAACTATATAAATAATTGCATGGAAGGTTTTATAAAAGAATTTAATCTTTTGGTCCAATCATTTTCTCTGGTCTGACCCATTCGTCGAATTCTTGTTCACTTAAAACGCCCAATTCTAAAGCAGATTCTTTTAAAGTTAAACCCTTCTTGTGAGCGTTCTTAGCAGTCTTTGATGCAGCATCATAACCAATCTTTGGGTTTAAAGCAGTAACCAACATTAACGATTCATGTAAAGTCTTTTCGATCTTGTCGACATTAGCAGTAATACCTTCAACACAGTGTTCTCTGAAAGAGGCAGAACCATCAGCAATTAATCTAATTGAAGATAATAAGTTAGCGATCATGACAGGCTTGAAAACATTCAATTCGAATTGACCAGATGCACCGGCGAAAGTGATTGCAGAGTGGTTACCGAAGACTTGAGTAGCAACCATAGTTAAGGCCTCGTTTTGGGTTGGGTTGACCTTACCAGGCATAATTGAAGAACCTGGTTCATTTTCTGGCAAAGATAATTCACCGTAACCACATCTTGGACCGGAACCCAAGTATCTGATATCGTTGGCAATCTTGAATAAAGAAACGGCAACAGTGTTTAAGGCTCCTGAAGCTTCAACAAGGGCATCGTGAGCAGCCAAAGCTTCGAACTTGTTAGGAGCAGTCTTGAAAGGAAGAGAGGTCAATTTAGATACTTCTTCGGCAATCTTAGAGTCAAAACCCTTAACAGTGTTTAAACCAGTACCAACAGCAGTACCACCTTGAGCTAAGAATTGCAAGTTTGGTAAAGCCTTTTCAACTCTTTCAATACCGTTGGTTAATTGCTGAACATAACCGGAGAACTCTTGACCTAAAGTCAAAGGAGTAGCATCTTGTAAGTGAGTTCTACCGATCTTAATGATATCCTTGAATTCATCAGACTTAGCTTGCAAGGCATCACGTAACTTGGTTAATTCTGGAAGTAATGAGTTGGAAATTTCAGTGACAGCCGCAATATGCATGACTGTTGGGAAAGTATCATTAGATGATTGAGACATGTTACAGTGGTCATTTGGATGAACAGGTTTCTTGGAACCTAATTCACCACCCAAAATTTCAATGGCTCTATTGGAAATAACTTCGTTAGCATTCATGTTGGATTGAGTACCTGAACCAGTTTGGAACACAACCAATGGAAAGTGATCATCCAACTTACCTTCAGCAACTTCAGTAGCAGCTTGTTGGATGGCCTTGGATAATTTAGGATCTAAAGCGCCTAAACTTTCGTTAACAATAGCAGCAGACTTCTTTAATATACCAAATGCTCTAACAACTGGAACTGGCATTCTTGCGGCTTCACCACCGATCTTAAAGTTATGCTTGGATCTGGCAGTCTGGGCACCGTAATACTTGGATGAATCGACTTCGATTTCACCGAAAGCATCTGTTTCGATTCTAGTCGAACTCAACAATGTAGAAGTTGATGATAATGATCTTAATTGAATAGATCTAGCAACTGGAGTGTATTTACTGGTTAATCTTAACATGTTGGCTAATTTAGTTTCTTCAATAGAAAATACTACGATAAAAAACTGTTGTTATTATAAATTTTCAGACTCTGGGGTTAATGAAATATTCAAATGTAATTTATCGGATGCTCGGTGGAGTTCGGAATCGTTAAGTAAAATTTGATTGGCTGATTCGCGTCATGAATTAGGATGCAAAATATTCACTTGAAGTGAATACGGTTTGTTTATAAGCTATAATACAAGTAGTTCTATAATTTAATCTATACGAATATTAGAATTAGGTAGCTTCAGTTTTTTAACTTTGAATCTTTCTAATTCATCAAGAGTTGGCCACGACCAATCTAGATAATTTTGGACTATTGATTTTGGATCTTCGCCAATGTGCGCATATGTAGATTTGGCACTGTCCTCCTTAACCTTTTCAACATGCTTGATATACCTGGAGCCATACTCAGTAGGCAAGGAACCGAGAAGCATCAATAAGGTAATATAATTTGGTTTAAAGTTCAAGTGTTCCCACCATTGAATTATGGTCGACAACTCGGAGATGTAGTCGTATTTCGCGAGTAAATGAATATATTTTTGCCATAAGTCATCTTGAGGATATACTCTGGGGTCATTATCAGCTTTTCCGAGATCTTTGTCAAAAGCTTCAGTCATGACATGTTGCTTGAATTCATGGATTGCGACTTGAGGTGCATACATATCTCCCCACATTAAACAAGAACTCTTGTCATTTCTGTCACTCTGTCTCATAGCTGCTTTAATTAAGGCAGCCAAGCAGGACTCGTCAGGATTGAAATTATTCTTTTCAAATAATTCCAGTTTGTACAAGTCATATATGTGCTCAGGCTGAACGTTTACTTCACCATTAAGCATGATTCCAACAATTTTGGATGTCTTCTTTTTGAACCCCGTATCGTACAAATATCGTGCATAAGAAAGTATTGATGAGAAATTCTTGAAATTCTGAGGTGATTTAGAATCTTTGATAGTAGTTATGGGGTGCAATTTTTGATACCTATCCCAAGGATACTTCATTTCGGGATGAGGCATACTTCTTAAATGAACGTTTTTGTATAGGATTGTTAAATATTTCGGTAAAATTGAACTTGAATGTGCCATTGCCAATAATGAGCCTTTTTCATTGGAATCGGTTTTTGTTTGTAAAATAGATATGAATTCGTCTATCTCACGTAGTGTCTTGATTGGTTGTAAGAGTAATAATATGATGTCCTTTGTGATTAAAATTCTTTCTTTATTATTTACTAGCTCTAGAAGAATCTTTTTAGACCTTTTTTCATTAAGTAAACCAAACTCATTTAGTTTTTTGATAAAGCCTAGCCAAAGTGTGGCAGATTGAAAATGATCCGACGCCCCGCTGTTGAAATTATGTAGTAGTTCTTCAGGCGTGATAGAAAGAAATATTCTAGTAAAGTGAAAAGATACCATAGATTTTGAAATTGAATGATGTGAATCTGAAAGCATCAATTTTTTTTCAGCTATTTTGAATAACTTTTCCGACTTTTCTTGAGATACATTATTTATAGCTAAAACTATTCCCATGTTACCTTCAATATTCAATTTAGAATGCACTTTTTCTCTCTTGTCTCCAACTTTAGAGAGAAACTGAACCACGACCTCCTGAGTCTTGATAATATTTGTCATAATGTTAGGTTTTGAGGTTATTGAACTCCTCAAATAATCAAAAATAACTTTCCATATTATCCCGTTGAGAAATTCTGGAGACACAAGCAGAAATTGGTATCCTGAACTAGTACTTGTGAAGAAATTGAGGGTTCTGAATATTAGTTCCGGTAATTTGTGTGAATCGTATTGAATCCCATAGAATATCAAATTATTTATACAAAGCTTTAAATGCTTTATTCTCTTATGATATGCTGATCCTATATCTTTCATAAAATCAAGCCATAAATCAGCCTGTAGATAATATTCATTTTTAGACATAGGAGTACGAAGTAATATGTCTGAAGTTATGCATGGAGGAATCCTGGAGAGATTCCTCAAAGATTCGCAACTTGAACTAACACCAGGAGCCATTATTGAAAGCATCCATGGTATTAGGTCTTTGTCAACAGAATATTGTTGTTTATATGCTCTTTTGGATAAAATTAGGAAACAAAGAACAGCCATCTTTAGTGATTCTACAAAGACATTATCTGTAATGCTTGAAAATTCAGTGTCTGTAAACTTTGATAGAAGGTTAGAGACTATTGTATCTAACAGAATTCTTTCTTCTTGTTCAATCTGGGATATGATTTGTTCTAAATTGAGTTTTTTAGACTTGAAATTGACAACTTTATTCAATATTTTGGTAAGATGCTCAACTTGAATTGCATGTTGCGATTGAAGGTACTTTGAGTCAAGGCCCCTATTATCAAGAATGTATAGTAATGAGAGAGTGCTATGAAAAACAATAGGCTCTAGCAAGTTTTGTATTTTGAATGGATTTGGTAGCACTTGATCTGACATTTTCATTTCATGCATATTTCCTTCCTTTTCTTTTTGAAGCTTGACTAGCAAATACTTTATAGATGGTTCTATAACGATATGTTTCTTTTTATACAAGAACCTTTCTCTTTCTAATGAGCGAAAGAACGAACGATGTGGTTTATCCATAGTTCTGTCAAATATTTGAAGATGGTATCTGTCATGTAACCTGGAATTAAAAGTACCAAAACAAGCATTATTTATTAGAAATTTACAACCAGGTACTAGCTTTAGTCGCTTGATTCGATTTAATATTATTATCATTGTTCATGCATAACTCCACTGGTACGAAATATTTAAGTGATGCTTCTGATCTAAAATATTTGAGCTCAGATTTGTAGATTTATATCTCAGAAATTCAGAAAAAAAGTATACTCAGTTCAATAAATGAATCAAATATATGTCCGAGTATCGTTACAAGGAGCTACTAAAAGAGAGTTTAAAAGGTGAAAATATAGAGAATGATACAGGTAAAAGAAAAAAGAGAAAGATTGGTGGACAGCACAATCCCAATCAGCCAGATGATGCAAGAACAGAGAACCAAGAAGTGATTACGATATCAGATAATGACCAAGAAAGCGATGACAGTATCAATTCAAGTGACTTTGAAGATGTAAACTTAGAAGATGATGAAGAATCGTATGGTTTAAGTTTATTACCTGATAATTTGGAAGATTCAAATGTGAAACCAGAATCGTTATCTATAACGATAAATCCTGTTCAAGAAGAGGTTAAAAGGAAGAGAAAATTCAATTCTATATCCAAAAACGAAAAAGAATTACGCAAGATTATTCATCAGATGTACGTGGGATTAATGCTATCGCATGGTGTAATAAGAAATAGATGGTGTAATGATTACAGTTTATTAATGGAATTAAGGAAGAGCGTATCGCCTCAAATATTGGAGTTGTTGCACCAAAAAGAATCCGATGACGTGCTACCTCTTGTTAAGTCCAGGAGATTCTTAGATGGACTAAGGAAATTGATGATGATGTATTCCTCGAATTATCGAGTTACTGCTCAAGGTTTAGTTCGTAAAAATTGGAATGAACTTTCTATTAAGCAGTCAAAGACCGAAGTTAATGTTACTTTTAATAAGTTTTTTAATTTAGTTACAAAATTTAGAGGTTCTCGTGATATAGCTGCTCAAGGTTTCGTAAGTTTGTTGAGGTCTGTTGATTTGAATGCTAGGTTGATTTTTTCCATACAACCTCCTGATTACACTTTAATTGCAGAGCTTCCAAAAATTGACAGTACCAACCATACTTCAAAGTATGAAGTAAACCCAAGTCCTTTGCTACAGAAATTTGCTACTGGAAATAATAAAAAAAATCTATTAGCTTCAATGAGGAAAAAGTCCACTACTGTAACAGATGAGATAAAAATTGCAAATTACTTTGAAGACTCACCATATCCTATATTTTGGGTAGAAGTTTGGGATAAATACGTTAAAAAATGGGTAAGTATAGATCCCATTTCTCTTCAAACAATTGAAGTCCCACCCATGAGAAGAAAATGTAAGTTTGAACCACCATCTACTGACGCGAGAAACCAATTAACATATGTAATTGCATATGATAGACTCGGAGGCGTAAAAGACGTTACTCGGAGATATAGTCTATATTATAACGCTAAGACAGTTAAGAAAAAGATCCATTTTAGATCAGAGGAAGATGAATCATGGTATAATCGAATACTCAAAGCATCTTGTTCGCAGTTGAGAAGAAATAAAGTTAACAAAATTGATATTTTAGAATTGAAGGAATTCCACACAAGAGATTTAGCTGAAGGAGTACCCAATAATATCGCTGATTTTAAGAATCACCCAGTGTATGCTTTGGAATCACAACTAAAACAGAATGAAATAATTTATCCCAAAGACGATAGTAGTACATGTGGATTTTTCAGGAATAAGTTATCAAAGAGGTCTCAGGAAAAGGATCAGACTGTTATACCGATTTTTAAAAGATCACATGTTTATGGTTTAAGATCTGCCAAAGCTTGGTACCTTCGGGGAAGAGTGCTAAAAGTTGGGGTGCAGCCATTGAAGTTGAAGAAAAAGCAAACGACACTGAAACAACCCACTAGTGATGATGATGAGGATGAAGAAATGACAAGACTTTATGCAGAGTTTCAAACTAAACTATATATACCTCCACCGATTGTCGATGGTGTGGTTCCTAAGAATGCATACGGAAATATCGATATTTATACTTCAAGCATGTTGCCAGAGAATGGATATTTGTTTGATACTTCGTTACAGTGTTCTATGAAGATTGCGGAAAGAGCCGCAAAAATAATTGACATTGACTATGCAAAAGCCATCGTTGCATTTGATTTTGGTAAGCCTAATAAAAAAAAATTTCAAAGCAGAAATCCTACGGCAAGAGAAGGAGGAATATTAATTGATATTCAATATAAAGAAGCTCTATATTTGGTTGTGAATGCACTTTTAGAAGAAGAAGATACTTTGAGAAGAAAGGCAGTCGAATTGAATTCGTTGAATAATTGGAAATACTTTTTGATGAAATTAAGAATATCGGAACGGTTGAACAAAATGCATGGTAAATTAAATAGTGAAGGTGAGGAATCTAATTTCACTGATGAACTGGGAGATAGTAATTTTAGTGTTCATAGTGATAATCCTGATAGCGGTAATGAATTGGGAGGTGGAGGGTTTTTTATTAGTGATAATTCTGCTCTTGAAACTAATACTGAATCAAAATTTGCTACCGAAAAGGATGTTCCAGCATCTAGAGAAATTGAAAGTTCGTATTTAAGGAACCTGAGAGAAATTAAAGAATCTAATGACAAACTTTTTTCAAACAGAAGTGAAGACTTAATAGAAGGACAAGGTGGGGGTGGGTTCTTTATTGAGGATCCCGAATCTGAAGCTAAAGAAACAGATCCCAAAATTTGTGATCAATTGAACGACACAGAATTAGACGATATACCTGATTATTATTTCAAGAAAGATGAAAATGGGAAATTGGTATATGATCCGTATAGTGATGGTAACCAGCTGACGAGGGAACTAAGTTGTGATGACGTTTCCGAGAACCTAGAAGATGATTCTGACTTCTTGATCAAAGACTTTTCCAAGGAAGCTTTAAACCAAGAAGCTTTACACCAAGAAGCTTTTAAACAGGACCATGGAGTCGAGGAATCTTCAAAAAGGATTCGTTCTTCAGAAGAAAGTAATGATGTGCAAGAGATAGGGAAGAATATAATCGGTAAAAATGATTCAAGGACAAAAGACTCTCAGGAATCACTGAGCGAAATAGAGAGTTCCCAAGGCTCGTTTGACAAAGATATAGCTGACGAGGAACATGTTTTTGGATTTGAATATAGTGATACTGACTAGATAGTAATCGTGATATAATGTATAGTAGTACAGGAATATGTAAAATCCGGCATTGTATACAACGTCACATTGCATGCGGCACTTGTCAAAAAGCGCAAACAGACCTTCAAGGTTTCTTTCTGAATGCTGAAGCAAAAAATGCTGAAATATAAAAAGAAGCCTTCAAATTATGTATAATGCTGTAGCAGAGAATGTCCTTGGGACTATCGGTACAATATTATGGTGTATTCAATTAACACCTCAGATTATACGTAATTATTGTGTGAAAAATTGCGAAGGTGTTCCTAGTATAATGATGTTTCTATGGGCTCTCAGTGGTATTCCATTTTCTATATATTTCTTTGGTACTGATGGATCCATACCACTTAGAGTTCAACCACAGTTATTCACACTTTGTTGTGTGGTTACTTGGATACAAACATTGTATTATCCTCCAGTGCAGTTTAATCTAAGAAAGGTAATAATTTTCGCCTGTTCATTTATAATAATAGCAGCAGGAGTAGAAGCTGGATTCATATTGTGGTTGCGAACAATTTATCGTGATGGAAAGGAATGGCCAATGCTAATAATTGGTATAATTGCAGCGATATTGATTGCACTAGGGCTTATTCCTCCATATTTCGAATTGGCGAAACGTCGAGGGCGAGTTATCGGCATAAATTTCGTATTCATAGGCATGGATTCTCTTGGTGCATTACTATCTTTGCTAAGTATTGTAGTAGGAACTATGGATATTTTGAGTATAGTGCTATATGCGGTTGTAATTGCATTGGAATTAGGCATATTCGCTAGTCATATTATATGGTATATCAGATTTGGGAAGAAAGAAAAAGCAATGGAAAATCATCAGGAATGGGAACATGAACAGCTGGCTGAAACAGAATATGAAAGTTTGCAAGATCCTTCGCAGGAAGAGGAATATGAAGAGGAACATGCCCAAGAAGGTGATATTGAGAAAGAGCAAAGGATAGAGACTCTAAGTCAGAGATCCAGAGGTTACAATTTAGGCTATGGAGACAATGAAAAAAATAGGAATGATAATGTATAGAGTATATAGACTTTTTGTGGTATGCAAATATCTACATGTAAATATTCACTTGATATGTTGAATGACAATTTGTTTGAACCGCGAAAGATTGATTTCTTATAAACTGTTTACTCTAAATATCCATTGACCACATATGGAGCCAATCGATTATATATTGAAATGGTATGTATGATAATATCAATGTATTTCAAGAGCTTTCACTAACTATTGTCAGTCTTCGTTTGCGCCTCTAAATCTTACGGAAGATCCGTCAATCTCCAAAAAAGATTTAGAAGAAGAACACTCTCGAGAACTTCAAATAGAAGAAGCATTTAGAATATATCAAGAAGCCCTAAACTTGCAAAAGGCAAAAAAACATATCGATGCTTATTTAGCTTATGAAGAGTTATTTAAGTTGGATGTCATTTCAAATCATTATTATGAAGAAGAAGATTATATACGAGGTCTACAGAATGGGAGCGCCAACACAGTAATAGATGAATTGAATTACTTGTCTCCGAATGTAAGGTCGTTAAGATACTTAGTCTTCAGGAATAGAGGATATTTGTATTATGAAATATTAAAATCAAATGCAGATATTTTGGCAGTTTTTGAATTAGAAGAAAAGTTAGAAGTAGAGGATTCCGATCTTGACGATAGAAAGAGACAACACATTAGAGAGTTATTTTACTCTATGATTGATGACATGATAATTTCATTGATTTATCAAGAAGCAGATGAAAAGTTGTTGAACACCTTATATGAGGTATTTACGTATCTCAATACTGCAAAATTGGCTAGATTTACATTGGAATACTTGATAAGTGGAAAAGATGAAAGTGATGATTTACTTGGACTTATACCTATTGAAGACTTATGTAAACAAAAATATAAGCTATTATTGCTGAGACTTCATATTTCAAAATCATTATCCCCTGGTGGAGATGATATACTGGAATTGGAACGAATAAAGAACAAATTATCCTTTTTGGAACCAATAAAGGCTGACTATGATTCACTGATTGAAAATACGAGTAACTTAAGGACCGTAAACATAAACATTGAGTGTGCTCAATATGATCTTAATTGGACATCTGTTATTGATAGCATTAACAAGAAATTAAAACATTTGCAAGATAAGGACAGATCTCAAGAATTATCACGATTAAGAGTAAGGGATTTAGATCCCTATTTGCTTACTGAACATCCTATAGAAAGAGTTAAATTTAGCATTCCTCTTCTCAAAGATGAGGCTAGACAAGAGGAGGTAGAGTCTGACTTAGAAAAGAAAGGCTTGAAGGAAACGAATAAAGGAGAAATCGAGGCTACGGACGGGGAAACTCTAATCGATGAAGGCTGTAACCATGCTGACTCTGATGAAGAAGTATTTCTAGAGGCGAAAGAATTTTTAGAAAAGGATCTAAGTGATAGAAAAGATACAAACGATTCAAAGAATGAATTGGAGGTTGACAAACAAACCTCTGAAAATAATAATGATCATACTTCTATTAATAGGGAAGATTTAGAAGGAGAGAGGAACACCCCTGATGAAAACGGAGCTTCTAAACCTGCACCCATAATCCAAAGATCATCAAAAAGAGTAAGATACAGAAATGAAGAATCATCAATGGAAATAAAAGATATAGAAATAACTAGGAACTGTTTTGTTGAAACAGAACGGTTTTTTGAAAATTTAAATTCATATTTGGACCTCTTTAACAAGAAAACAGGAACAAATTTAGCTCTAACAAATATTATTGACATATATGTTCCTGAAAAAATGAACGATTGCAAAAATGGACTTGGAAATAATGGAGAAGGTTATGTTAATGACTTCTTATTTATTCTTAATGACTGGAATACAAGGAAGTACACCAATTCTCTATTTGTGGATGATGATGCACCAGCAGGATCAACAACAAGCAAGTCTACGGAAGATGAAAAAATCAAGCTAATGGAAGTTTTGAGTACTTTTGGAAAAAAGGGTGATTCGCTCAGCTCAGAGTTATGTAATAATATGAAAGATATTTCGCTGTATGAAACCACAGAAGAAATCCAAAAATTCCTATATGATGTAAATGAAAATCCTTGCCATTATGAAGAACTTAAGATACTTATTTTGAAGAGATTTTTAAGTACCCAACATCGTAAAGGGAATTTCAGAGGGGATGAAAAATATTGCTTAATAGTAGACACTGTTTGGAGTCATAAGCTCTACGATAAACTTAAGGAATGGGCAATACAATGCGAATCAATCCTTTTGAATTACTTGAAGGTGAAAGGTTGTGATGCATTAATTTTGAGCAGTATTCTCGATGACTTGTCATTTTCAGTGAGTATTTATGAAATATTGGTAGACACTTATATCTCAATTAAAGACCAGATAAGTAACATGACATCATTGAGTTACAAGAGAACTAATCAGAAGCCAAACAAAGCCACTTTGAACAATATTTCTTTGGAATTAGTCAAAATCGGGGATAAATTAAATCGATGGACTCAACATTTTGAAGACTTGTTCGAGAGAATAGATTTATCTCTTTCTATGCTGAACCAGGAATTTCTTAATTATTATTGCAGATACAAATGGTCTCTTATACATAAAGAGAAGTCTCAAAATACTATATGGCAAGAGAAAGGATTTATAATGTCTCAATTACACGAATTGCTCAACGATATTCTGACAAGATATATAATTGATGCACAAATCTCTTTGCCAAATTATGAGAATATTAATGGAATAAGTGTCGACAGTATTAAAGCGCAGATAACAACTACATCAATATTATCAATATTAGCGAAAATTTTATATGCTAAAAAAGGAACAAATAACGACGAGGCAATACATCTTTTGGAAACTATATTAATTAGTGATTCGAACGCCAAGGAATTAATTGAAGTATTTCCTTTAAACAAAGATGATAATACCTTTGACAAGGATGCACTTGTTGCAATTAAAGATTTTTTGGAAGAATCTCCAGTTGATATGAAATTAAGTTCATGGAATATTTTATTTCTGTATTACGATGAAAATAATGAATTTGCTAAGTTTCAACATGGATTTGAACAAAATGTGTCTTTTATCTTGAATTATTTGAACAGTAATACATATAATGAACTTAGCGGTACAAAGTTTGAAACTTTAACAAAAGTATTGGGCTCGTATGGTAAACACGTAAGGATATTTTTAAGCCACTTGAAAGAAAATGATTGGAAGCTATCCAGGGATCTGCATAGAACGTCACTATCAATTGAACGTACATTCGGTGAATTGCTTAAGCTTTTTGAACTATTTTACTTGTTTAGCGTCCATGAAGAAGCAGCTTTAATATCAAGTTCTAAAATATCTGTTAAAGCTAGATCGAATAAAGCATATGAAAGATTTAAGGATATTTTCATAAGCACCGTCTCAATAATTGTTATTTATTATAAAGAATTATTAATGAATACTATTGAAAAAGAGGATAGTAAAGCAACCAGTCATATAGAGAAAACTGTTGGAAATTTTATATGCGATTTCCACGAGCAGTTGGGATGGCGAAGGGTTTGTGATGCTGCACAAGGATTATTTTTGAATTTGGCTCAAGGTATATTAGTAGAATTCAATAATAACCTATTCGAGAACCAATTAATGCAACTTATTTCATGTCGATATCATTATAGTGTGAGTATAGATAACTTCACACCCATTAATCACGAAACTAAAAAAACTGCTGAATTTGATCTATCATCTACCCAGAAAATGGCAGATTATATATTGCCTTTGTGCTTCAAGAAGAATCCATTAAAGACAACTCCCAAGTCGGATATGAAACTATTAATAGATGAATTTTATGAAGTCGTAGGAGATCCAGATTTTGATTCAAGTGAAGTTCTTAGCAGGAATGACTCTTTATTTGAACATTTCCTTGAGTCAACATCAATTACCTCTAGATTTCTTCGTGATACATTCTACGGGTTGGAAGAATTAGATTTCACTAATCCACCCGAGAACTCCAATATAATAAAAAGTGGTTTATATTATATGCAAGGGCTATTAATGTTTGCATCCTATAAGATTAGAAAGAAATCAACTCAAAGTAGGGCTGTTGAACTTGAAAATATTATTATGTTGTTGAAAAATGACTTGATTTTCTGTACCAATAGAATGGAAAGTTGGTTTTTATTAGGACAAGCATATGGTTTCTTGGTTGAAGATGATTTGATATGGACTTCAGACAAGTTAACAGTGCCAGAACGAAAGATAGGAACGGCCAATCTTCAAAGAAAGTCATTGATATGTTATTTGATGGCGATTAATGAATCTACAAAGACGAATATACTGGAAAAATCCGCATTAAAATCTACATTAGGGTCTCTCATGGCATTATTTTCTAAAGAAATGTACAATGCAGCAATGAAACCAATGGATACACATGCATTCAAGGTCCAGAATAATCCTCGTTTTATAAAGAAACCTGCAGGTGCTGCTTTTGTTAGTGTAACAACAAGTTCTGTGAATTCTAATCTTTGTTTAAAAGTTATTCAACAATCATTACATATAGCTATAAAAGCAAAAAGAAGCGATTGGACATACTATTATTACCTTTCTAAGGTACAAAGAAAATTAAATAAATCTCCGAAAATAGTTCTAAATGCATTGGAACATGCGTCGAAGATAGCAAAAGATCAATCAAATCCATCAGATCCTATTATTGAGCCTCATTATAAAAAGTGTTCCTTAATCTATAAGTATGTAAAGGAGGGTTCTTTGAGTTTTGACCTGGCGCTAGAATATCTCAAAAATGACCCAGTAATTAACTACGAGAATAGCAATAAGAACATTGAGAATCAAATAGACTTTTATGGAGTTGTTGTGCATTGCCTTAAAGCAGTAATAGCGTATGATAAAAAAAAATGGCACCATAAACCTAGGTATAGATTAGCGAAAATATTATTTGAAGAATATGGCAAAATTAATGAGGCAAAGGAAGAAATTTCATCAATTGTATCATTGAAATCAACAAACAAAACATTGGTTCTGATATGGAAACCCGAAAACGAAAGGCCTGGTAAACATTTTTACTACACATTCCAGTATGCGCTTTTCTATGTGGTATTGCTTTCAACTGAAAAGAATCTAATTAGCCTCATACAAATGCTTCCGAAATTACGGCGCTCAAATTCAATTATGGTTTCTTTATATACTATATGGGAAACATTATGTTCATCAATATGCAAAATCATTAGAAACCTGCTTAAGGTCGACGAAAGCTTTACAGAAAGGTTCATGCTTTCTCTACCTTATCAGAAATTTATGACGAATTCAAAGTCGTTTATGGAAAAAATGAAAGCCGATGGGGTACCTAAGGAGTTACAAATACATATGTGTTTCCTTCATGCGATTACCGATATGAAGAAACTAAATAATGGATTCGGCCCAACATCTTTAATTGATGATACTATGGTTGCAATTTTTATTAGAATTTATTTATATTTTGAAAAGCAGTTGATTAGCCTGAAAGCAATAATTATTACCGAACCTATAGAGTCTCCGAACGAGAAGACTAAAAAACTTGCTAAGAGAGATTTCTTTCCACTAATTTCTGATATGTTGAAAACTTTTAGAAGAAATATCGAAAATGTTTTAAAGGATCAGCCTGAAATTTATAATGAATTTGTAACTTCCTCTGATAAAGAAACAAAACGGGAAGAAAATGAAAATTCGGCTATCGTAGAGGACGAGCAAAGGAGGGAAGATATCAAAACGCCAGAATTAAACATGGATCGTTCAAATATCGAGCTTGAGTCAGATACAAATATTACGGAGAATAAAAAAGACTCCAATACCATACTTCAGGAGAATACTAATATGTCTCCAGAAAGTATTGGCTTTAACTATAATAATGAAAATTCTGAGCATGATTCTAGAGTGCGGACACTAGATCATATGCTTAATAATAAGGATCCACGCATTGAGGAAGAGGAGTCTTCAAAGTTAAAGAAACAAAAGTTAAATAACGAACACCATGATTCTGCCTAATTGATAAAAGCATACTACTACGAGAAAGTACTTCTTAAAAATTAGAAATTGTTATATATATACATTTTACGTACTAATATATTTGAACTTCATTTACAATAAGCTTTCTTAAGGATAAGTCATATACAATTCCATTCATCTTCTTAAAGTTATATTTTAATGCATCAAATTTTCTCCGTATATTGTCATTCTTTAAGTCTAGCATTTGAAACCCATTTTGAAGTTTGGTAACGATCTGTAGATTAATGAGACTTAAACTATACTGTATGTTTTGCGATCTATTTGGAGAGTTGTCACAAGATATTGAAACCAGTATAATGGTATCAATTGTATACTCCACGACGATTTCAATTAAGCGTAATAAGCTTAATAGATAGTCACTATAGTTCAATTTTTCTAAAGATAATATGCGCTGAATTTCCTCTGGTGTTAATATTAATCCCATTGTATCCTGGTCACTCTTTGAAATTAATGGATATGATATTTTATCACCATCCTTAGCATTTACCTGATAGATATATGAAATTGCCTTGAAATAGCGATTAACCATCAATACATAAATGATTTCCTCGTTAATCTTATGAGAAAGTCTATCCCTAAAAATAGGCCTGCAATCAATTCCATTCAATTCTTGTAAAAAACGGTGGTACTTATCGCTTAATAGACTTAAATTATCAATAATCCTGACTTCGCCAGCAGTTCCAAGATTGAAATCCCTATTTTCTTCACTTATAATCTTTACTTGACACAATTCTCTAGATGCAAAGGCGAACGGTATATCTTTTGAATCTTCCGATGTCAAATCGTAAGGTAGATTAATTGGTTGGATAGTAGACAAATCAGCATATTCAGATTTTATAATTGCAAGTTCTATACTGAATAGATTTTCTAAGTCACTGATTTTATTTTTAAAATTAATTCTAAATAATTGTTAGTTTTGCCATGGAAAACTTGCTAAAAACGAATGAACATACTCTGTATTAATTTCATCTTGAAATACACCAAATAGACCTTGTAACTTTGACATTGCTTATGCTAGAAAGGAATAGTGAAATAGAAGCAAAAAAAAATAATTTTCTCTAGAATAAAAAAGATGCTCCACGGCAGGTTCGAACTGTCGACCTTCAGATGACACAGTTAATTAACTATGAGACTGACGCTCTGCCAACTGAGCTAGTGAAGCGTTCTTGTTCCCTGATTTTTATATTTATTAACAAGAAAACCTTACTAAAATTGTCATTTTTTTTATATTGTATTACTTGTTTAATCCAAAAAAATATATATTCATAATGATAGAAAATCCTATTTTAGATGATCCGAAAGCTTCTCTAATTCTTTGGTAGTATTGTAATTATTAATTTGTTTCCTTATCGAAGAATCAATATTAGAATGTGCTGAATTACTCAAGGGTTCGAATCTAATTATGACTTCTTGATTGGCGTTATTGTATTGCACGAATTTGACAACTTTTTTGACCTCGCTAGATACAGACAAAGGTTCTCTTGAACAAAAAAGTTTGTTTAAGTAAGATTCGGGAACATTATTGATACCAGCACTTTGAACCAAATGTTTAATACTTATCATCTTCAAAAGTCGCGTAATCTTACTGATTGTTTTGGCATACAATAATTTACCTGGGTACTTCTCTGCATCGATCATTGAAACTAAATGTTGAAAATCATTTTCTAAATTGGAATCAAGATTAAAGCGTTCAATAATATGAGGTATGTTTAAAGATTTCTGGTTTAATTTCTCACAAAAGCCGATTATCATAATCAATTTTTCTTTATAAGTGCCATGCAATATAATAGAGCTTAAAGAAACAAACTTGATGTTATTTACTTGCTTTGGTCTACTATTAGTATCTAGCATATTCAATTGTGCATAAGAAGGAGTTGTTGATGGATGCAAGCTTCCAGATCTGGATGCACTAACATGTATATCCTGCGAAATACTTGTAGACAAGGATCTAATTAAAAATTTTAACTCTGACTTATAGTGCTGTTCTGGCTCAATCAAATTTCTTAACTCTGATAGTTGCAATAAATAATTTAATATGAATAGAAGTGAGATTTCCTGTCTCTCGAGTAATGATACTGATGAAAACTCTATGCTATCGGGTTGTATTCTCTCCTGTAACTGTGAAGTATCACATAAGTTCTCTGATTGGTTGTTTGAAATTTCAAATCTTTCATAAACCGTAGTGCTTAAATTTGGAAAACTTAAAAGAACTCTAAAATAAATGTCAGACTGAACACTATATTCGTGTTCTATACAAGCTTCTTTTGATAATGACAAAGCGAGTAAGTTAAATGCTGTATACTTATAATAATCCTTTAGGAAAGTAAAATCGATGGTTGAAGATTGAATAACTTTGATCGGGGTTTTCGGATTTACTATAGGATTGAGATCATCACCAGCTTCCATAAATGGCAATATTAATTTCGATTCACCGATTATATATACTGTTTTAATAAATTCAGTAAGTGTTGGAAACATTTCGTTGCTTAGTTCTTGTTTTGCTACTTCTTCAAGACCCTCTATGTAAGCATAATAGACAGAAAGGAACTTACCGATATATGCCACAGTTGGAGTGACTTCATTTGTATATAGCATATCCTCTGCTTCATCAATAGTAAGTAATTTAAAGGAAGTTGTAATAAAATTGAATAATTTGTTGATTATGATAGTCGAGTATGTCCCCGAGCTGATGAATTTCCCGATCGATATGTGCTCAGTAAAGAATTGATTGGTTAAATCTTTGAAGAAACCAGTAATTCTTTCCAACTTCGTTGCAATTGTTGCCAAAACGTGGTTTGTATTATAAATTTCATGTCTGTCCACATAAGAGTCATTCAATAGGTTCTCGTAGTAAAATACTTTATACTTATACAAAACAGTTGTTAAAGATTCCAAACTAATTAACCATAAAAATTGATGATCCTTCTGCTGGAGTTTTGAAAGATAACTAATGCTATCATAAAAATATTCCTCTAAGTTATTGACTTTCGATATGAAATCATTGGCGGAATAATTTTTTTTAATTCTTATCGATTCATCGGCTTGTCGTTTTAACTGGTAATCAAGGATAGATTTGATTAATTGATTTAAATTCGAACCAGGATCAAAGTCTGGTGTATTGTATAATATTTCGGCAGCCATATTTAATCCGTTATCTAATCGAAATGAGTCTGTTTATCTACAAGTGCTTTTTGATTTAATTTATAGCAAATAATGCGGTTATCTGCTCGAAAAAATATTGCATATATTGTCTAAATGGTTGGAAATGGCATTATTCTATGACATCTAGATACGATTTCAAGATAATTCTTATCTGATTCAGGTGTTATATAACCATGTCTAATTAAGAAATCTGTAACTACCAAACCACAATTTGGCTTAAATTCATTATTTAGTAACCTTTCCAAAACTTCATTAACATCCATCAAGGTAAAGTCTTCGGCCTCACCATCTTCAGGGTAAGGAAGAACATCTGTTTCATTATCAAACTCTAGATCGTATATATATTCTACCTCTGGTTGTACCGTATCTTTACGACCATTTGGTTCGTAGATATACAGAACAACACCAGCAGATCTAATATGAGTGTTTACAAATTCTTCTCCTAAGCCGGCCTCCTCGTGGCATTCCTTAATAACAGTCTCCCAGATACCATACGGGTATCCTAGTCCACCAGCAACAGTATTGTCGAGCATACCAGGATATGTTGGTTTTGTAGCAGACCTTCTAGGAACCCACATCTTAAGTTTCCCGTTTGAAGACTTATGGGCAGGTATGTATCCATTGATGTGAACGCCATATGTGATAACTCCAATTAAAACCGAGAATGCTCTTTCGATTTGCACATACGGTGTATGAGTAGGGTTGTACACTGTGTACAATTCGTCTCTCCAGCCCTTATCAAGAGATTCCGAAAAACAGGGTATTTTACGCCATTTCGTAGCGATCAAACTGAATAACGCATTCCTTTTCTCAATAGTATCCAAGTTAGGAGATAAGGTCAACGTCTTTTTTTCAGTATTAAGCAAAATATCTTGCTCATCTTGAAAGTACTGTGAAATTGTTGGTGTTATGTATCCCAAGGTTGCAGAATTATCATGGGTTCTCAATTTATAATAGAATGCATCCTCTTCATAAGGAAAGCTATCTATTTTCCTTATAATGTCTATGTATGAGGTTTGAGTCATCTCAGTATGATATTGACCGTAAATCTTTATTTATATGTATTTTTGTTTATCGCATTTTAATCTGTCCAAATCAAAAGTTACATTTCGTTAAGATTTTACCATTCTTAATTTGAACACTTTTAATTTGGCCGTAGCAAGACATGAATGGATCCTCTAGATCCCTTATTAAAGCACTCAATAACTTGACTGATGATTGGAAAGATCATGCTGATGAAGAAAAAATAAATTCAGACTCTTCTGAACTTTTTAAAGTGATAAGCTTATTTTACGAAAAACACAATGATTTGCAGAGCATTAAACAATCGATAAATATTAATGATGAATTATTCCGTATTTATAATGTTTATATTAAACCAGTCTCTAATTTGCCAAGGGAAATATTGTTCTTGGAAATTTTGACACAGCTTCTGCCAACTTTGATAGATAATGAGATAATACTTTGGATTAAGACATATCTTAAACCTGCAGTTGATAGTGCTGGATATGACATCCAGATTGTATTGAAGTCTCGAGACTTTATTCGTCAATTATCTATGAAAGAAACATCTTCGGGGGACACTTTGTTAATAGAAAGGCGTGATCAAATAGCATCAATTGTCATGGATACTATTATACAGTTGTATATCGGTCAAAAAGATGAACAATACGATGTAATAGGTTTACATTTACCAAAAGAAGAAACTGATAGTCAGCTTTATTATGAAAGGATACGATACATGAAAAAAAATTGTGAAGATTTACTACACGAATACGGACTTAAGAAAACGAAAGAATATTTTAACTTGATCAACAAATATTTTAAATCATCGTCTCAAAGATTAGATATGTTGACCTTATTGTCAAGGTTGATTTCTTCTCATACATTGCAAGTTTACCAAATAGTTGATACAGATCTTTTTTATAACCTACTTAGAAGTTTGTTATATGACTATAATGAGAGCATTCTTCTTGTTTCATTATCATTACTTGTTATGCTCATACCTCAGGTTTGCAATAAGATGGCAAAATCTTTTCCTGACTTGTTGGTAATTTATATTAGGTTATCAAATTGGGAGCTGTTTAATGAACACATACCTAATAAATCTGATTACTTAGCAAAATTACTCGATGAAAACTTGAAAGTTTGGGACTTGGCAGAAAACTACCCTTTGAAAGGTGTCTCGCCTACTAACTCTAAGATTGAGCTAGATATACTGCATTTAATTACACTATTGTACGGACTCTTTCCGTTGAACTTAAGCAAGTTTTGTCAATCTCCCTTCAAGTTTTTAATGAACCGTCCTACTGAAATATTCAAAATCAAATTGCTTAGTTCTATAATGGAAAATAAAGGATTGCCTTATGAAAAAAGTTTAGAACTCGCTATAATTAATACCACAAGAGACTTCTTGAGGTCATTTTCATTTCATCCCAACTTTCTTCGATATGATAAGCTCACATTACAGAATGAGCTTGAAAACCCTTTAGCTTGGCTCTTTGATGAATCAAGCGACAATGATCTTCGCTCCGAAGAAATATCACTAGAATGTTTAAGCTTTAATCCACATCTAGTCATTAACGTATTTAATAATCAAGACGACATGGTCAGATCATCCTCGGATAAAGCTCTATCAGAAACTAATGTTGGTTCTAATAACAGTAATCTGTTTGGATTTATATATACGGGAACAGGTGAATCAAACGCAGGCTCGCTGTCAAATTCACGTCATGTATCACGAAAATCATCTTTTGCAGCACCCATTTATTTGAACATGAAGGATATATCGCAAAAATTACCGAGCTCATTACAGCATCTTAATAATAAGCAGATTATTGATACAAGATCCAATAGCATTTCTGACATAAAGTTTAAGGACGTGAAGTTTGATCAAGGATTAATGGAAGAAAATGAACCAAATGGAAGTGAAAATGAACGTGTATCTCATGTTAATGAAACTGCTTCTGATACTAGCTTCGATTTAGATGCTGATTATTCACGAGAATCAAAGAGGCCTGATCAATTTAAATCGAACCAACTGTTGAATGATATGTTTTTGGCCCACGAAAAGCTTTATATTCTTTCAACTAAAGCAAGCGACCCTAAAATTGATTCAAACATGCAGGTTAGAGATCAATCAAAAAATCAAATCCCACCATCTGATAAATTAAAAATTGAACTACTTCATAGGCCTGGTACTTCTCCGACTACATCATTAGAGACAACTTCTGTTCATAGAAACTCAATTTCTGGAACAATATCTAGTGTGCCTTCTTCGGATTCAACTCAAGTACAAGATTTTAGTATCACCAATAATAAATTTCAACATGGGACAGCGCTTGAATATTATCATAGAGAATTGCTACTCATGAAGAATGAATTAGAATTTTCAAATTATATGCGAGATCTAAACAAAACTCACTATGTTAAGCTTAAATTAAAATTGAACAAGCTTTCAAAACAATCCTGTTTATATAACCAATCTATTGAAAACAGGAGTAATATATTGGAAATCAATAGTTTGAAGGTAGGTTATGATTCCCTTGTCGAATCTTTAGAGCAATTAAAATTACAGTTGGTAGAATCAGAATCTAAGTTTAAGAATGAAAATTCACTTTTATTTAATAAAATCAAAGACCTTGAAGGCGAAAACAGCCGCTTGAAAACAGACCTAAGCAATTCTACAAGTGAACATCAATTATTGAGTAACAATTTACATCATTCGATTCAGGTTGTTTTGCCTGAAAAGGAGGTTGAAGTTAACAGGCTAACAACTAAATTACATGAGCTGGAGCGAATAAACGATACATTAAACCAAGAAATCAGGCATTTGACGGAAAGAACTAAACTGAAGGAAATAGATCATCTTGAGAAGATTCAAACTAGCACCGCTTTCAACTTAAGTGAACAAGAAAAGCAAATTTATAATTTGAAAAATGATATCTTGGTACTCAACGATAAGAATTTAAAGATTTCCCAAGAATTAATAAAGGCACAGGATTTGTATGATGCAGCAATAAAATCTTATGAATCTAAACTTTCTTCATCCAAAAATGACTTAAGCAAGAACATAAGCACTTTCACATCACAATATGAAAGACGAATTCAAGAACTATCAGCTATAATTCTTAAATATGAAGGGTTATTAGATGAAAAGAATTCCAGAATCGCCCTGTTCTCAACATCTAAGCCTATTGAGATCAATCACGCAAAGGCACTGAATGAGATGAAGGCCTACGAAATGGGCATTCCACAATTGACTCGAAATAATGTATCACAAGAATCTTATGAACAAGAATCCAAAGGAAGAGAGCCTACCCCGGTCGAAGGTATGTATAACGGCCAGCTTGATCACCTTCCTCCTCATCAAAACTATGCTTCCAATTCTCACTTCCCACCACAAACTGTTGCAGCACCAATTGTTAGAGGTAGAGGAGGTATTCAAAAGAGATCCAAGAAACACATGTGATATAGTATTTAGCGTACCTAATATAAGAAATGAAATGCTTTTATTGTCTATCTACAAGGCTTTAAATGTTAACCTTGAAAAACTATCCTGTATATAAATTACTCAACTTTACAACGTGTTATTTATCGTGACAATCAGTCAAGAAGTTACCTTTCATTCAGTAAACCATAACCTTTTGTTTACTAGTTATCATTGAATCATAGGAGTAATAAGTTGATTTCTAGTCAATTGAGTATAACGTTAAAATGTCTCAGGCGGTCAGAAAAAGAGGAGGTAAGAAGTCTGCAACACCTCCACCTAGTTCAATTGTTGATGATGATTTAAATAAACTAAAAGCTTACAATGAAGGTTCGGTAACCCCGAAGGAGCCGGAAAAAAAGTATTATATAGCATTGATTATAGTAACATTATGTGCAATTTACACGAGATTTTCCAAAATTGATACACCTGCCAAAGTTGTATTTGACGAAGTCCATTTTGGAAAGTTTGCTTCATATTACTTGGAAAGAACATATTTTTTTGATTTGCACCCTCCTTTTGCAAAATTATTGATTGCTTTTGTTGGTTATCTTGTTGGTTATGATGGAAAATTTAAATTTGAGAATATTGGTGATAATTATATTGAACATAATGTTCCATATGTTGCATACAGATCTTTTCTGGCTATCCAAGGTGCTGCCGTTGTACCTGTGATGTTCTTAACAATGAAGAATTTGGGGTACTCTGTTCCTGCCTGTCTTTTTTCAAGTTTATTGGTATGTTTTGATAATGCTCATGTTGCTGAATCTAGATTGATCTTGTTAGATGCTACCTTGATTTTAAGTGTTGCATTGACAATTTTTGCCTACACCAAATTCATTACTTATCGTAAAGCGCCATTTACTAGAAAATGGTGGACGTGGTTGTCATTGACTGGGGTCTTTTTATCTTGTGTTATTTCAACTAAATACGTCGGTGTTTTCACATATTTCACCATTGGAATTGGTGTTTTATATGAATTGTGGTTTTTAATGGATTATAAGAGAGGTTTAACATTAACAGACTTGTCAAAACATTTCTTTGCTAGATTATGGGCCTTGATTATTGTTCCATTTACAATCTATTTATTCTGGTTTTATTTGCATTTTGCAATTTTAGTCAAGTCAGGACCAGGCGATTCTTTTATGTCTTCAGAGTTCCAAGAATCATTGCTTGAATCCCCAATGGCTAGACATGCTAAAGATGTTCACTATAATGATATTATCACAATTAAACATAAGGATACTGATGCATTCTTGCACTCTCATCTTTTTGATTACCCTTTGCGTTATGAAGATGGTAGAGTATCTTCGAATACTCAACAAGTTACTTGTGTTTTTGATCCTGAAAATAAGGAATCTTCAGATATCAATAACCACTGGGAAATTTTACCTTCTTCTAACAATGTTGATGCTGAAGGGAAAGCGATTTATACAAATGACATCGTCAGACTCAGACATGTTGGAACTGGGGGTTATTTATTATCTCATGATGTAGCATCACCTTTGAAACCAACTAACGAAGAGTTTACTATCGCTTATGATGATGAAGCTAATGTTGTCCATTATAATGAGACTTTATTCAGATTACGTCTTTCTGAATCAGGTAATGATAAGAACAAAAGAAAGCTTGTCAGAACAAAGGCCATTCCATTGAAGGTTATCCATGTCGATACAGTGGTCGCCATGTGGACTCATGATGATGAAGTATTGCCTGAATGGGGATTTGGTCACCAGGAAGTTAGTGGAAATAAAAAAGTCCAAGATAGAAGTAACGTCTGGGTTTTCGATGAAATTGTGAATTTAAGAGAAGATGACAAAAGGGCAGAGTATGTCCCTAAGGTTATAAGGAAAATTCCATTTTTGAAGAAATGGTGGGAATTGCAGTTATTAATGTTTCACCATAACAATATTTTATCCTCCCAACACCCATTCGCTTCTCAACCCGACTCTTGGCCATTAGCACTTTCCGGTGTTTCTTTCTGGAATGATAATGATGAAAGAAAACAAATCTTCTTCACTGGTAATGTTATCGGGTTCTGGTTAGAAGTCGGTTTCCTTGCTATTTACGTCGGTTTATTATTAGCTGATCAAGTAACTCGCCGTCGTCATGTTTATATTTTGAACAACAAGGCAAGATCAAGATTATATAATACATTAGGATTTTTGTTTGTTGGATGGAGCGCCCATTACCTCCCATTTTTCCTAATGAATAGACAGAAGTTCTTGCATCATTATTTACCAGCGCACTTGATTGCAGCGCTATTTTCTGGTGGACTTGTTGAATTTCTTTGTTCAAATAACAGTAACAAGAAGACTGATAGTCCTAAGGGAGTTTTGAAATATAGATTGGCCGCCTTTGTGAGTATTTGTACTGTCGGTGTGGTTTGGTTCTTCTTCTATTTCAGACCTGTAACTTATGGTGATATCTCATTAAGTGTCGAAGAAGTCAAAAATAGACAATGGTTAGATATCAAATTACACTATGCTAAATAAGCTCGCAATTAAAGATATTCTTGCGTTCCTGATGAAGCTTTATGTATTAAATAGGTACAATCAATCCAAATAAATTTAACATTCAACGCGAAAATTATTAAAATGTAAATAAGGAAGTAAAAATCACAGATACGAAGGAAGAATCGGTAAAATAATGTCATTGAGATCATATTTAGTTACTCTTAAGAAGCAATTGGAATCTAATTCAATCAAGACTCCTTTAAGATTTGTTACAGGTAATCAGTCGGCTGATTTAGACTCGGTTATTAGTGCAATTACTTTTGCATATTTTAATTACAAAAGAGATGAATCATTGTTAATTCCATTAATTAACATATCTAGAAACGACTTTAAGTTACGAAGAGACATTGTTACTTTATTAAATTCGTATTCAATAACTGAGGATAGCTTATATTTCATTGAGGATTTCAAAAGAATAACGGCATCCGATGCCCCTATCGAATTAACATTAGTTGATCACTGTAATGTCCAAGGGGATATATTCACGGAGTATATTTCTGAAGGAAAGCTAGAAGTAGTTGGGATTATAGACCACCATCAGGATGAATCAGTATTTTTAAATGCAAACCCAAGAATAATCCATAGTAATGGATCTTGTTCTTCCTTAGTCTTTAACTATTGGTATGACCAATTTAGTAATAAGGATATTTTCTATGAAAAAAATAATGAAGTGGTTCCTTTGTTGTTGGGTTCTTTGTTAATTGATACGTCAAATATGACCCAAAAGGTTGAAGGAGGAGATGTTATCGCCTTTAGTGAATATCAAAATATTTTACAAAAAAATGAGAATTTACTCAAAGGATTAAATGAATATGCTTGTCAAAGTACTGATAATATCGAAAAGTTATTAAAAGGATATTATAAACAGATAAAGAAAGCAAAAAAGGATATGAAAGGGTTTTCATTTTATGATATTTTAAAAAAGGACTATAAGCAATTCAAGTTCATTTCCAAAAGTGATGTATCTACAACGGTTGGATTTAGTTCCATTGGTAAATCATTCTATTGGTTATTCTCAAACTATTCTAAAGAGGAAATATCAGAGACTTTCAATAAAATCATGAAAGATCTCAATTTAGATCTTTTGGTCATGACACCTTCTTATACTAGGCAAGAAAATGATCAATACGCAAGAGAGTTCGGATATACTTTCAACTCCAAAAATTCTCGCAAAGAAATTTTGCTGCAATTAGCTGAATTAGCTAAAGATGAATTGAAATTGAATTCTGATACATACAAACTAGAAAACTTTGATAATTATCTTGCTAATTTAGCAAACAATCAAGAATTTAAAGTCTACAATCAGAACAACTTAGCGGCTTCAAGGAAGCAAATAGTTCCCGTTGTCAAGAATATTCTCGAGAATAACTAAACATAAGAATTGTAATTTTGATTTATTTAGATTATAAACCTGCTATAAAACTTACATTAAAGATCCTTAATTCTTCATCAACTTTCAAAGTCATTTTTTTCTTTAAGTTCGGTATGAAACTATTTATTTTAGATAACTCTTTTAGAAAGTCATTAAATACATCATCCTGTAAAACTAGAGATTCTATACTTTCATCTTCATTCGAAATGCCTTTGATATCATCATGATAGTAGAATACCTTTAAAGAATTATTTAAGACGAAGTTTTCCGTGGATACATCAACGCCAATATTCATTATCCATATGAAAATATTGTCTTGTCTCGATTCAGATGTAATGTTAAATTTTCTAATGGCAGATAAATTTATCTTATCGACAATTAAGTTATAAACGTAAATGTAAGAGGGGAACGTCTCTATGTTATTGTGATATTTCAATGCTAAGTTCCATTTAAAGACCTTCATTATCGAATTGTCCAAAATTCCCAAATTATGCTTGCAGGATACACATTTTATGTCTTGGTTGGAAATTTCAACCTGTGCACATCTGCTTATCAATAAATAATAACTCCCAATTATAACATCTGTATCCCCAGGCTTGAGGCTGCCATTATAATTTCGGTGGGAATCTTGATGATCATGCTCACCGGCTGGTTTATGACAATGCCAGAACTCCATCATTTCTGACCATAATTCAGACGGCATATCTAAAAATCTATTATACTCTTGAGAATCAATTATCTCATGGGAACAGTGTAAACATGTAAATTTAAAATTATTCTTATTGTTAGTTTGTGGAGTTTTAGCTTTCAAATCTTTACAGGACCATTTTTGAACCAAGTTTGATGACGAAAAATTCATGAAAGATTCAGTCTTTTCCGAAATTTCAATAGAATCATAAGTTGTCAAGGAGATTGTTAATTGTAAGCAATCTTCTATTTTATGTGCGTTTGCTATTCGTATATTACCATCATTCTTTACTTGTACTGGCAAATTTACTAATGTTTCATAATCGTGAAATTTAATTAAGAGTTGATTTTTACTGTTTAGTTTTATATTTATCAAATCATTAATCGTGCATTTTGTTTCAATAATCACAGATATAGATCTTAGTCTAGGCAAATATTCTGTAAAATACATCTATTCAGTATAAATAATATATCTATATGTGATATTATGAAGTTTTTTTTTTTTACCGCACTTGAGATCTGATTGCAAATTCTACGATAATTGACTTTTTTTTGAATCTTCATTCATTTAGATTTAAACCTGGATAAGCTTTAAATCACTACTTGTGCCTCCGTAATTGAAAGGGTTTAGAAATCGTTGATGGAATATATCCACATATTGCATTATCGAGATATTTAGATTTAGAACTTGACCTTTTCAGTTTTCGCTTGGTATATGTAGTGAAATGAGAATTCTCAACACTTCTTGGGACCAGCTTTTTATTAATTGAATACTTTTGAACTAAATTACCAATTTGTGATTTATATTCTAATTCATTCGGGGACTTATTATTAGTCTTAGTAGTCGTAAGATCCATGTGAATTGGTTCAAATCTTTCGTTAAATGAATTGTTCTTCAGAGTATTCTGCGAGCCAACATTTTGAATATTTGGTATTAATAAAACCTGAAAAAATCTTGATATTGGTGCTGCTGGCTCTTCTTGAAAGTTTAAAAGTACTAATTGATTTTGGAGAAAAGACATTACTGAACCAATGAACGTTTTTGTTATCTCGAAATTCCTTTCAAGATCCTGTTCAGAATCCATATAACAAATGTTGTCTAATGAAAACTGCAAAAAAGATTTGTCACCAGACTTAGCAAAACCTTCGCTGAATTGAACAATTCTACCAAATATCTGGCTTTTTGTTTTATTAGATAGCAATTTAAGCGGGGCAAGGTAACTTTCAGCCAATAAAGTTTTCATCACTGGATTGATAAGCTTCATCTCTAAACCTTCAAAAGAATCCACTGATCCTAAATCACATGTAACCTTCCTCAAAAGAAGGTCTAGGTAACAATAGTTTATTACCAAGCATCCATGATTATAAAATAGCCAAATTTTAACTGTGGAAGAAAAAAGGTCCGGAAAATATCCGAATTTAACAAATGGCCAAAACATAGCACTACATAGCACCAGTTTCTCGATATAATCGACAGCAATAAAGCATATCCAGTAGTTAAGTAAAAATTTAACTTGGTCGCTGTTTCTGACATCAATGGGGTGCCTCTTGTTATACGCTCCGGTCAACACTTTAAGTGTTAACAATAGTGGCCATACAAAGCAAAGAATATTAGGTATTAGCAAGTAGAGCATTATAAATCATGCATAAAATACAAATATTAAATATTAATGTTTTCCAAGTACTCTATGTTTTATTCATATATTTTGTCATCATATTTGTGGTTTTCTTACAATTTTGCAGCCAACCACTATACTGTGCAAAAATATAAACTTATATACTAATAATCCTTTTTTTTGAATAATTTGCAAGAATAAATCTATAGATCATTACAAGGTTGACAATATACATAACTCGAATTATCCAGGAATCAGAACAGTATGGTTAGGGTATTTATCAAAAATGCGATTACTTTAGAAAATGACTGAATATTTCTTTAAAAAGAATTAGTGGTAACAACATCATAAAGGATGATTCTATTGACATTATATGCTATTTCTTATTCATATACTTGATGATTTTTGTCAAATATATATCTAAGATGGTAGTCGAATTTGTTTAAGACGAATTATAGTGAATTGTTGCACGCGACATTTCTATATATTGACGCGTTGTTTTCTTTCCACGTAATAACACTAATCTTCATTCCAAGGATATTTACAACCGGAAAATACAAAACGACTCATGGATTTGGAAGAAGAGTTAAGTTTGTTCCATCAAGAAGAATTCGCTCCAACTGAAACTGATCAGCAATCTCAGACCAATGAATCTGCGAATAAGGACGGAGATGATCTCTTAGGACTAGATCAAACGATCAAATTATCTAGCAGAGCTAAAGTTGCCAAAATTGATAATGAAAGGATATTTAATAAACAGAAAGGATTGAATTATGTTATACAAAATCATTCTAAGTTGATACGGGTTTTTCAAAAGAATGATAAAGCATTACAGAAGACGCTTTCGTCTAAAAGGACATCGTTGAGTTCAAAGGCCGTAAGACACTTAAAACATGAAAATGAGTTTAAAAACTTATCATCAATGCTACAATTCTATCAACTCTGGTGCCATGGATTATTTCCGAAAGCTAAGTTCAAGGATTGTTTACAATTGGTTCGAAGTTTTGGTTCGAAATCAGGCCAACTTAAACTTTACAGGCGTGAACTAATAGAGCAAGAATTACGTAAATTGAAAGAAAGTAAAGGTATAATCGATACAGAAAGAATAAAAACGCCAGAAACACATCATCAACAGGATAATACGTTGCCAGAGAACCAAGAAGCACAAGTAACTCAAGACATAGCTGACGATGACTGGAGTTTTATGAAAACAAACCAAACTAATGGGTTATTTGTTGGTGATGACGATGATTTGTACCATACACCAACCACATTATCTACCGAAGATATATCGAGGGATATTGATACTACTGCTTCGAATTTGGAACATGATGTGTCTACCCATGTACCTAATACTAAAACTAATGCTACAGAGAACGCAAATGAATCAGATGAATCAGATGACCCCTTTTCTGACGATGATATACCTATCAGATCCGAGGCAATCAACAAACATGATGAATATCCAATTGAAGAAAACGAAATTGACGATCATGAACATGAAGATGAATTAGCAGTTATGAGAGAAATGGGATTATAAATAGACCCTCATGCATGTCAATGAAGCATCTGTAACAAGATAGCTATTTTCATCTTTAACCAAGATGATTTTGATTCCCATACAGCTACGTGCCTATTACTGAATGTAAAATTTTATTAATTTATATAAAATCTAATTAGAAGATATAACTGATAATGCACGATTCACTGTTAATTTTAGTTTCTAATTGGCGTCTTTCATATTGGCGTCTTCATTTTTATCTTCAGCTTGTTCTTTGTCTTCTGCAATTTGTTCCAAATCATTTGAACCGGATTCGTTCTTGGCCTTTTCTGCAGCTTCTCTTTCTTGTCTTGCTTTTTCTTCTTCTAATGAAAGTCTCAAAGCTAAAGCCAAGTCTGGGTCCATATTTGGATCAATAAGATCGCCATTACCTCCACCAAATGCATCCATTCCCATATCCGAGCCGTTACCACCCATATCAAATCCATCTTCGACCAAGATAGGAGACGTAGCAATAACTTCATATAACAACCTTGGTCCTGGTGGAATAGTAACGAGATGCGAGTTATCATGGTTATTTATAATCGAATTAAATTTCTCTAATTTAGATGTATTAACGGATTCTTCACCAAAATTTATAATATCAATGGCTACGTTATTCTTTTTCATCTTTTTGGCTAACTTTTCCAAATCCTTCTCAGATTCAGTGACTGGACTACCTACAAATATTATGATTCTTTGACTCTGAACTTTATTTTGACGGTGCTTCAAAGCCAATGCTGCAACCTGAATACCACTTGAAAAGTGATTTTCTCCTGATATTTTTGTTTCATGAGCCCCTGATAATATTTTACCGAAGTCTGTGGTCAAAGTAGATAATACCTGAGGCCCATTCCCACCATATGCCAATAATCCGACAGTATTCTCTGGATTAGAATTAACCTTATTTTGAAAGATAAACTCGGTTGCTGTAAGCTGGGCATCATATCTAGATGTTAAATAATCTCCATTCCTCATATACTCGGAGTTATCGATTGCTATCATCGTAGCTTCAAGAACCATTTTTAATCTATTATTTATATTAATATGAATCAAAGGAATAAAATTGTTTTTGTATAATAAGTTGAAGTATATTTCCGTGATACCTTCACCCTCTTATTACCTCAATCAATGAATTATACTGAACAATTGATTGTTAGCTAGAGTTATCTATCTATTATTCTGATATAATCGCCACCGTTGATCATTATAAAATTCGTGTCTGAACCGGACATATCAACTACTTCTATGTTTTGGTGCAAACATTATCAAACATATACTAATCATATTATCTATTGAAAAGCATGCCATATACTAAAGCAGAGAAGGAAAAGCTTATACAGCACATAAAGAATCATACTGAAAAAAGATTACAAGTTATGAATAGTGAATCCGACAGGATAGCAGAAATATGTGAAAGTAAGGTCCTTAGAAGATTGAACTCTGTAAGTGTAACATTATGGAATATAAGGCTAAAAGATGTTCTAGAAGTAGAAAGACACCACAAGCCGACAATAAAAGGTTTGCTCAAAGATGTGCGGCAGTTACAGGAGAACTCGTCGTCTAATAATAGCACCAATATTTCATATAGCACCAGAATCTCGAATCGAACTGCATTGAATGGGAAGATCACTAAACCATAAACCCTAAACATTAAAAATTAGCATAACTGTATTCTATAGAACTAGAAATGACATACTACCGATAATTAATAAAATTAATAAATGTATTGGAACATCAATATGAAATAAACTTAAAAATAATAACAACTAATTAAACTATAAACATTAAGCATCTTCAGGAATATCATCATGGAAGAATTTACCTTCAGTTGTTGGTTTAATAATACCAATTCTGATACAGAAATCACCAAATGGTTCTCCTTCGTTTCTTTCTAAACTCCATCTCTTGAACAATGGTTTAAGGATATCTAAAATTTCATCTTCCTTAATAGAATATCTGTAAATCTTATTCAATCTTTCACCATGGTGACCACCACCCAACATTAAATTATAGGCACCATAAGCTTTACCGACCAATGCGACTTCGGCAACCCATGGTCTAGCACAACCATTTGGACAACCAGTCATTCTCATAACAACTGAATCATGTCTTAATCCATAGTCTTCTAAGGCCTCTTCTAATTTAGTAATTAATTCAGGTAAGTAACGTTCTGACTCAGCCATGGCTAAACCACAAGTTGGGAAGGCAACACATGCTGCTGAAGACAATCTTAAAGCAGAGAAGTCGGTGTTATCTAATTTGTATTGAGCTAACAACGATTTCACTTTTTCTAAATCATCATCGCTGATGTTAGAAAGTAAAATATGCTGGTTACCAGTCAATCTAAATTCACCAGGTCTTTCGTTTTGTATTAAGTATTCTGCGATTTTCTTTAAACCGGTCTTTTGAGGTAAATCAGCTGTGTCCTCAATTCTACCATTTTCAATGAAAGCAGTGAAATGATTTGCGCCAGTTTCGTCCTTACACCAACCGAAATAATCAACATTGGACTTAATTTCAAAAGGCTTAGGTTCTTCAAATTTGAAACCTAATAACTCCTCAACCTTACCTTTAAACACATCAACACCCAAGTCATCAATGGTGTACTTCAATCTAGCATGCTTTCTATTTGTTCTATCACCAAAGTCTCTTTGAACCAACATGATCTTTTCACATGCAATATGAATCTTGTCTTTTGGAACGTAACCAAACATAGACCCAGTTCTTGGGTAAGTCTTTTTATTATTATGAGTAGATCCCATACCACCACCGGCTAAAACGTTGAAACCAAGAACTTCATTGTCTTCGACGATAGCAATCAAACCAATATCATGTGCATAGACATCAACATCATTGTATGGTGGGACAGTAATAACGACCTTAAACTTTCTTGGTAAATATGTTGGACCGTATTGAGGTTCGAAATCAGTCAAAGCATTACCTGCCACTAACGTCTTTTCTTTCTTTGGACCTTCTTTACGGTTTTCCCAGTTCTTGGATGCTCCTGGCTTATCACCGTCGTCTTCGCCTTGTAACCAAATTTCGTGATACGCAGTAGTTTGAGGTAACAAATATTCAGATATTAATGCACCAGTTTGGGAAACTTGTGAATGAACCTTTGCATTGTGAGGTAAAGCAGAAACCATAACATTTCTGTTGACATCACCACAGGCTGCTAAAGTGTCCATTAATGTGGCATTCATACCTCTAATTGCTGGCTTCAAATCGTGTTTAACAACACCATGAAGTTGAAAGGTAGCTCTTGTGGTCAATTTCAAGGTTCCATTACCCCTTTCATCAGACAATTCATCCATTCTCAAGTATTGAGATGGAGTAGCAATACCACCTGGTAATCTAACTCTAACCATAAAGGAATATGCTGGTTCCATACCCTTGCTCTTACGTTCTTCTCTGATATCACGATCATCTTGCATATAAATACCATGAAACTTAGTTAATTGTTGGTCAACAGCGCTGATAGCTCCAGTAGATTGATCATTCAAACCTTCAACAATAGTACCTCTTAAGTAATCAGATTGAATTTTCATATCTTCATTAGTTAATGGCTTTGGTTCTTCAACACCTTCAACATTATCTACTCCTAATGCCTTCCACAATTTTTGCTCCCATTCATTCAAACCAGTATTGAAGCCATCGGCATCTTGATCATCACCTAAACCAATATCGATTAATTCGACACCACCGTAGAATTTTACCTTATTGAATAAATCTTTACCAGGTTTGTTGTAATAATGCTTGTCTTCTTTTCTTGGCCAGTATTCAGAATCACCTAAACCGAAAACGGAGAATTTGATAGTTGACAAATCAATATCGTTGGAATTCTTTAAGCCATCCCAAAATTGTTTACCGTTCGTTGGGAATTCACCTTGACCCGAAGTTGACGTAATAAATACAATATTCGTTTCATTTGGCAAATCTTCCATTGATATATCATCCATTGCTAACACGATTGATTTTAATCCTCTTCCAAGAGCTTGTCTATTGATCTTCTTGGCAACAGCCTCTGCATTACCACCATCAGATGCAAAAGCAACTGTTAATGGTGGACCAGATAATCCCTGCAATAATTTACTATAAGAATCATTAGCAGCTTTGAGTTGTTTAGCCTTAATTTCAGTAGTAGCATTACTAGTCAAGTTTCTAGACAATAATGGATCTTTCTTTGCTAATAAAGTCAATTTATTTTCACGATCCAAGAAGTTCTTCAATTGATTTCTTAAATTAGAGGAGTCTAATATAAAGGATTCAAATTCATTTTCAATAGTTGGATCGTATCTGTATAATGGCCAGTATCCACTATCAACTGCAAGCTTAGTTTCCTTTAAAATCGATAAAGTATTATCAAATTCACTATGATATGGTAAATAAGCTAAAACAATTGAAGGACCGTTGAATTTTTCAGCTTCGATAAAAGCTTGCAATACCTGGGTATAAGATGAGTAAATAGCGACAGATGCAACATAACAACCACCATAGTTCATTGCATATAAACCAACATCCTTTTTACGGAAACCATTAACGGTCTTATCATTTGATTTATCTTCGTAAGGCTCAGAATCGATAATCAACATGTTAATGTTTTTATTAGAAGTGATCAAATTGTGCACACCAGAAGATCCTAAATCGTACGACCATGCGTCCGAACCTATCAACCAGTTTTTGTTTACTTTGAAATATTCCTTCAAGTCTAAAATGTTCTTTGCATTAGAAGAATTGGTATCAGTTTCTAATAATTTAATAGTCTCCAATACTGAATCATTGGTAGTTTCAATATTTTCTCTAACATTGATTAACCATTTAGACAAATTATCGATCAATTTTTCGTTATCAATTGACTTAAATGTGTTCTCTTGAATAGCTGCATAAACCAAATCCGTTAATTGCTTTTGTTGTTCTTCATAGTTCAAGTATGCACCGTAACCATATTCAGGATTGGTTTCAACACCAATATTTTCTGCATTGAATTCGTTCAAAATGTTTAAATTATCGGAGTTGACTTGCTGTAAAATCTTCAAATAAGCTTGTTCTAAGTTACGGACATTGCTAATAGCTTTGAGAGATTCACCATATCTTTCTTTACTAGCTTTAGTAGTTAATTCTGTATTCATTTTACCGAATGCCAAGTTTTGAACAGGAGATTCAGATTTTATGTTAGACAAAAGGTTAGCAATAATTTCTGAATACTTTTCCGACTTTATGTAACCGAAGAACGCAGCAGCCACCTTTGTGAAGTTCTTCAAGGTTTGGTACTTTGAATACTCTTGGAAAAAATCTAATAATAAAGGAGCAAACGAAGCCGATGGGGAAGTGGTTTGAGAAACAAAAGTAATAGTTTCAACTGATGATGGTATTATAGTTAATAAATTTTGTAAATCAAAAGGCTTGTAAACCTTGATTGAAACCAACAAAACATTCTCGTTTTTAGCAGCACTAATAAGTTCATCGCTTAATTGACCAAAGTATACAATTGAATGCTGAGCCTTAGAATTACCTGCAACAACCTCAAATGGAGACACACCAAACTTAGTTATAAGATCATTAAATTCATACTTGGATAAATCATCAATGATTATCTTACCATCCACCTTTTCGCTCAAAGTGGTACGGTAGTTAGAAGGTGCAAAAAAGTGGAATACTGGTTGTCCGAATCTTTCACTTAAATTGTAACTCAATTTAGAGAATACAACCGACTCATTAATAGATTGTGATACTAAAACTGGGATATTCAAGTCCCTCAATGCAGAAACAATTGAAAAATCAAAATTCAGCAATTCAACATGCGATACAATCTTGCTTGTCTTGAATGCTCTTGAAGATAAGAATGGCAAATTTCTGAAAATTGTAGAACCGTTGGTGGTAACAGTAATTATTTCGTCATTTTGTTCTTCTTCGCCTGTAGTCTTATGCTCTGCATAGTTATTTATGATACTGTATGGATCATTAGAGTCTATCAAAGTATTTGCATTTGGCAAGTACTTCGAAAAAGACGATTCAACAGATTTGGCCGGTTGAGTCACAAATACTGAACCCTCAAAATTCTTGATAACATTGGAGACTAAATTGTTAGAACGAGGTTTAAAAAATATTCACCAGATACTCCCAGAAAGTTGCACGCTTCTGTCCAGGAACTCCTTTTCTATATCTGTCTTCTCTGACCAAAAAATAACATACTGGCTTCTATTTGACTTCCCATTTTTATAATCTTGAATCAATACTATGAAATAGAAGAAAAGAACTACTGAAGATGTATGTAGATTTTTTATTTTTGTAGAAATCATCCATTATACAATGCCTCTAGTGAATCCCAATTACCAATTCGCACGTGACTGGAAAATTGTCTGTTATCATGGGAACGAGGCCAATCACTACTAATGTGAAGGAATATATTGAATATTCAGCAGCTTCTTCGTTAATTGACCCGGTTTTTGCACTCAGAATGGGGCCGAGTGAGATACTTCAGATAACGTATCAAGCAACAACACGTGAGTTATAGTAATAATTGAAAGAAATTCTATTGGGTGTATGGTTTCACGTGTAATGATATGATTGATAAAAATTTATCATCATCTAGAGTCGGTAGTAGTTTGGACCGATTTCAGCGAAAAAGTCTTACTTGGGGTGATTGTTAAGAGAAAGTGGACAAGGATGGAAGACCTTTGTATTGACTGTAGGTATCAAATTAAAGTACATTTTCGTGTTATAAAAATATATAGAGTGATCATTCTGTGTATATAACAAAGCTATTAGGTATTTAGATCTTCAACTTGTCGTATGA